GACTTCGGCCATGTCAGGTTTCAAGTCTTTCACATCTAATGTTTCCCTTTGAAATCATGTAATAAATGATTGAAATCTCTCATATGCACCTTGTTTAAATTTTCATAAGGATCGTGCACTCTTTTTAGGTCGTATAGCACTAGCAAACTGCGATAGAAAGAACCTCCTAAATTCTACAAAACAAGTGATTACCCCAGCTCCCGAGACTTGCAATGAGAAGGCATTCTCCAGCTGCAATAGTACCTCAACATGCACTAGTTGATCTCTCTTCTCAATAAGGATAAATATGACTTTATCTTGGTATAACACATCGTCAGGCTTCTCCTGCAGGTGGATTGTTCCTCTTCCATAGTTCGCTGGCGGTTCCCCTTAAGGGGGTTGGGTGCCCCTTATTGGGTCGGTTCTTCTCCTGGAACTAAAACTGCTCTTAGGGCAACTACTGCTCTGAGTACCACTACTAATTTTCTTGACATCTGGTTAGTGGTTTGAGTCCTCAGGTCTTGCAAGCCATGATGAACAAATTCCTCCATTTACTCCCTAGTGCATGCTACTTGGATCATGTTCCCCTGACTGGATTCTCCTTGTTGTTGTTGATGAGCTCCTTTTCTTGTTGATGATGTAATAAATGATTGAAATCTCTCATATGCTCCTTGTTTCAATTTTCATAAGGATTGTGCGCTCTTTTTAGGTCGTATAGCGCTAGCAAACTGCGATAGAAAGAACCTCCTAAATTCTGCAAAACAAGTGATTACCCCAGCTCCCGAGACTTGCAATGAGAAGGCATTCTCCAGCTGCAATAGTACCTCAACCTGCACCAGTTGATCTCTCTTCTCAATAAGGATAAATATGGCGTTATCGTGGTATAACACATCGTCAGGCTTCTCCTGCAGGTGGATTGTTCCTCTTCCATAGTTCGCTGGTGATTCCCCTTAAGGGGGTTGGGTGCCCCTTATTGGGTCGGTTCTTCTCCTGGAACTAAAACTGCTCTTAGGGCAACTACTGCTCTGAGTACCACTACTAATTTTCTTGACATCTGGTTAGTGGTTTGAGTCCTCAGGTCTTGCAAGCCATGATGAACAAATTCCTCCATTTACTCCCTAGTGCATGCTACTTGGATCATGTTCCCCTGACTGGATTCTCCTTGTTGTTGTTGATGAGCTCCTTTTCTTGTTGATGATATGTTTCCACACTTACCGCACCTTAAAGAATGTTGAATCTAAAAATGTTCAGAAAACACACCCAAGGTATAGAGTGTCACACTGTAAAGAGATAATAGTAGAAAATGCATAACTTTCTTTCATGATATCAACCACCTATTTATAGGAATAAACCATGATCTTACAAAATTATAGATTTTCCCACTCATCATTAGCCTTTTAAGGGAGCCTTTCACTAATTACAAGAACATTAGATCATAATAAGATGGTGATAAGATCGTTGATTGCTTGCCATGCTTTTAGTTCTTCGATACTCAATTCAGGGTTGAATCATCTGATGATCGGTTCAAATAAAATCGACTGTCATTCTAGGGGCCAAAATATTTTTGTAGGCCTTTCCGTTCGTTCTTCTCATATTTCTTTTGTCTGCATCTGATCCGTCGGTTGTTAGAAACAACAGTCGGCCGGTTACGTGATTGGTCTTCCCTTTCTCTCTGAGTCGTTTGTTTGCCTTGAGATTCATGTTGAAATAAATTTTTGTATACAATTTTTGAGAAGGGAAGTAACTAGAACTTGTTGGAAGAATATGATGGACATTAATGAATCTAATCTTTAGTTGTGTCCATATTTGTACACAAAAAATGGACTGCATAAATCTTGGGACAATCTAATAGTTCAAAAAAAAATATAAATGGCAAAAAAGTGTTAAAAATTAGTTATGAGATAAAAAAAGTACCATAAAGGCTGGTAATTCATATATTAAAGAGAGGACCATAAAAAGACACCATAAAGAACTGTAAGCCCCCCATTAAAATAGAGAAAAACATGTAATTTTAGACTTGGTCCATTTTTCTCTTTTAAATAGAGGAATCATACCATGTAGCCTTGTAGGGAGAGGAGGGTGGTGGGGGTCTGTAAGGAGATCTCTACCCCCTTCTTTTGACTCCCTATATTATATATATATAATTGGTCAAAATTTTTGGGAATACTCTACTTTGCCCTTATGGGGTAAGTCTATACTTGTTATTTCATTTCTTTTTTCCTTCTCTATCTCTTTTTTTTTCTTCCTCAAAATCCCAACCATTCTGATTCTTGGGCATGCCTCATAGGACAAATTTAGATTCAAAATATTGTAAAAAATCCCATTTGTTGATAATTTACACTAAAGGAATTACATAAAACATGCTTACAAAATTATTTTTGACAAATTTTAAAGACAATGATGTGGTTACATTACATCAAATAAAAACACTGTCCATTAGATAAAGTAATTTTTTAGTGGAGAAGTAACAATTATAAAGTTCATATGAGTTTTTTCAACATTTGATACATTTCCAATGATATGTCATTATTGCTAACATATTGTATCAATAGAAATGTTATGGAAGCCTACTATAATGAATAAAATGAGGCACCAATGTCGAGAAACCAATTACAATTTTGATTATTTGGTGAGATATTAAAGTGGGCTTGACTTTAAAATTGGTGGAGCTTAGTGTTTGGTGGTGATGAGTTTTAGATGAAGTAGAGACAGGTGGTGCATTATTTTGCCAAGCTGCCTTGTTGTCAACATTGTTGTCATTTACTAACTTGTAGGAAAGTTGTGTAGGAGGATGATGGTTTTGGGAAATAATTGTGTAGTATTTATGGAGTGAATGTTTGACGGCTATGAGATGATGAAGGATTGAATGCATACTGTTTGGATTTGAAGTTGGTGCACTTTTAGAGGGTAGTTGAGCATTAAGATTGTTTGATTCGAATGGCTTGTAAGTAAGATTTAATTTTGTTATAAACGAGAGTATTTTCATGGTTTAAATTGAAATTATGCTTCATAAATAATAATCTTTTCAGATAAATTATCAAATATAACAATAAATTTATTACACGAATTGACTCACAAAAATATATTATAGTCATAATCAAGATTGCTTAAGAACTAGCAAAGGTGATAACTATTAGAATTGAATAGCTAAATATGACAAAATCATTGGAGTTGTATTTAATAGTTTAACTTATTCTATGATTATTTGATGTCCCTTTTTTAAGGTTCCTTCAACTAGCTAACATGAACAAAATTAAGTATAACATAGTTAGTTGTAAGAGTATTCCTTGATTTGAGTGACATTCATGTGGAGTTAATATAGGGTGAGAGGTCTAGTCTGAAAGAACTAGTCATGCAATTGAGAAAAAGGTTGTTTTATTAAATCTTGACAATGTCATCTAGAGTTAGTAAGTTTTTTTATAGGTAAATGTAGAGTTGATGTTGGACGAAGTTTAGCTATGTCAGAACAAAAAAGATCAATTATCATCAAAAGAGGTTCAGTATGTATACACATGCATGAGTATTAATGGTTCTTGAATGACAGTGTATTGATATCACAATGTTGTTCATTTCATACGAATTTAGAATTGTGCGACTTGACCTAATGGTGACTGCAATTATGGAAATGTTAAAAAAATTGATAGGGTGACAACCATGTGGTTTTGATACTATGATAAAAAAAATAATTAT